GATTGCCAGGCCGCCGGCCGTGGTACTTTCTGTGAAGCCGTCCCTGCTTCAATGCCAGCTGCCTCAGGTCGGTCTTCACTCAGCCAATTCGCCAGCGTCCTACGGCAATGTGTACAGTGTCGGCTAGACCTTGAATCCAGCTATGTGCCAGGTCATGCTGGATATCTGGGGAATGAGCTCTGTGATGCGTTCGCTAAGTATGCCCGTCTACAGAATCCTGCCGATTGCAACGAGCCGTGTCCGGCCTGGCCGGGACAGCTGGCCCGCCATCCATTGGCTACTTGGGCATGGCTTGTCGCCGGTTATGCGCCAGACCTGCCCAGGCTCTTTGCCTTCGAGCCGACAGCTGCACGCTTGCAAGCTCAGGTTGTGCCCCGCCCAGCTCCCTCCTTTGGTGTCAGTGAGGCTCAGGCCCCCTGTCAGCCTGTCCGCTTTTCCCTCACATTTGCCACCTACAACGTCCTCACTCTTCTGGATAGGCCTGCCGGGAAGGAGCGCACCGTTTGCAGACGCGCTGGTCTGAAAATTGCGGGCAAGCGACACTTGCTTATTGAACAGTGCCATGCCGCAGGTGTTCACGTCATCGGACTGCAGGAAACGCGGTTACAGGATACCGCGACCCTTGCTGACCGCACATACCTCCTGTTGCACGCTGCAGCGACGCCTGCGGGACATTTCGGATGCGCCTTATGGCTTAGTAAGGTTCTTCCCTATGCTCGTGCGGACGGTTGCCCATTGTATTTTGCAGCCAAACACTGCGCTGTCTCTGCCTTTTCTCCGAGACACCTCCTTGTCACTGTGAGCGCCCCGCATTATCGATGTGCTTTTCTGGTTGCACATGCCCCGTCGGACCCACAAGGCAGGCTACAGGCAGCTCGCGAGTTCTGGGTTCAGCGTTCCGCGGAGCTGCAACGCCTCCCGGCGGACATGCCTGTCGTGCTTCTGGCAGATGCTAATAGCCGTATCGGCAGTCTCCCCAGCCCGGCTGTTGGGGGGCACGGCGCGGAGGAGGAGACCGTTGCTGGTTCGCATTTCCATGACTTCCTGTTGCGGCATGGGCTCTATCTGCCCTGCACATTTTCTGCCACACACGAGGGGGACACTTGGACTTGGAGCTCCGCCACCGGTGAGCGTCACCGACTCGACTATATCGCTGTCCCGCAAGCTTGGGCCGTCTTGACCCTCCGGTCGCGTGTATGGTATTCCCTTGAGGCCATGCAGAAAAGAGACGACCATGTCCCAGCCCTTCTTAGCTGCTGTTTCCACCGGGTCGTCTCGGACAAGCCCGTGAGCACTTTTCGCCGTCAGTCTTGCCGACCCAACGATCTCGACCCAGCTTTGGACAAGCAGGCCTTCTTGCAGCGGCTCGGACATAGTCCAGTCCCTACTTGGGATCTCAATGTCGATGATCACTTTGCGAGCTTTGTTCAAACATGGACGGCAGCAGGCCATGCGGCCAATGATGCCATCACTACAGTCCCTCCCCGGCAAACCTTTCTCACTGGTGACACCATGCAGCTTGTAGCTGCCCGTAAGGCGCTCCGGGTATACCTTCGGCAGGAAGAAGCCGAGCTGCGCCGGCGCTACCAGCTCATTGCCTTTGCGGGATTCATCCTTCATACGCGCGGCTTGGCTTTCTCCATCGGTGCTCAAAATCGTGCTGAAGCTTGGCTACGGGATGTTGAGGCCAGCATCGCTCAGGCATGGGCGTCGCTTGGTCTCGCCTGCCGGCTCCTGCGACACGCCGTCAAGACAGACCGAAACCGATATCTGGATGAGCTTGCGAGAGAGGTTACGCTGGTCGACCTCAGTCGCCCCAAACAGTTATACCGCCGAGTCCGCAAGGCCTTTCCCAAGGCCGCGGCCTCGCGGCGCACCCAGTTCACTGCCCTTCCAGCCGTTGAAAATAGCGAGGGCCTCCTCGCGACGACTGCCGAAGCCCGCGCCGATTGTTGGCGGGAGCACTTCGCTGAACAAGAATGTGGGCAGCCAGTCAGTTCGGAGGCATTCTGTGCGCAGCTGTCGTGCGCAGACGCGCGCCGCCGTTCACGGCCTGATCCGGTGTTTGATGCTACCTTGCTCCCGAGCCTGTCTGCAATTGAGGCTGCGGTTTTGGGTTTGCGCAGGTCCAAGGCTGCGGGGCCTGATGGCGTTACCGCTGAGCTCCTCAAGGTCTCCCCTTGTTTGGCCGCGAGACACCTCGTCGCTCTCCACTTGAAGTGTGTGCTTGCGGTGCGGGAACCGATAGAATATAAAGGGGGGGCCCTGATGACACTTGCCAAGCGCGCGGCAGCCGCGTTCGGCCGCAACAAATATCGAAGCATTTTACTTTCCAGTGTCACCGGTAAGGTTTTCCACAAGGGTCTTCGTGACATCTTACCCCTGCCTTTTTAGGCCAGAGTCCGGACTTGCACGGCGGTGTCAAGCGCGGGGTCGGAGTCGATACAATTTCGCTGGCTGTTCGGTGTTTTCGTGCTCACGCCTGCTCCACCTGCAGCCTTCCTGCTTTCGTCTTCTATGACGTTCGCGCGGCCTATTACCAGGTATTGCGGGAGACCCTTACAGGTGATGACCTGGATGACAGGGTTCTTGTCAGCTTGTTTCGCCGCATGGGGGTCCCATCAGAGGCCTTCGCCGAGCTTAAGGAGCATCTCTCGCGCCTGGCTGCACTAGATGCATGTGGCTGTTCTGCGCACGCAGTGGCCCTGTCACGCGAAGTTTTCACGGGTACCTGGTTTCGGCTTGACCAACATGCCCCGCTTGTTTCCACAGCTGCTGGCGTCAGGCCTGGTGACCCACTCGCTGACATCATGTTCGCCATTAGCTTCAGTGCCTATGTACACTCTGTGCAGCGGGCGTTGGTTTCTCGAGGGGTGCACACACCCCTTCCTGCATGCCGTCGGCAGCCTCCCTGGTGTGCAGGTCCTCCCCCTACCGTTCTTGGACCAGCCTCATGGGCGGATGACTTTGTTGCCATGCATGCCGCCGAGGATGCCCTGGCCTTGGTGCGGCTTGTCCGTGATGCCACCGGTGTGTATCTCGAACACGTCACGGCGAATGGCATTCAGCTCGCGTTCGCTGTTGATAAGACGGCTACCGTGCTGCCGCCTGCCGCGTGTCATGCAGGTCAGGTGGGCCTTTGCCGTCAGGGCACTGAATGCTGGCTCGATGTGCCCAACGCTATCACCGGAGCTGTGGAGCGTCTACCTGTCGTCCAGGCATATAAGCACCTCGGAGGCATTATCACCAGCGCAGGCACTGTTGTCCCTGAAGTCCATTTCCGCCATTCACAGGCCGCATGGACTTTAAAGCCCCTTCGTGGTGTGCTCTTTGGCAACCCCAGTGTACCACTTTCGGTGCGCCGGCATCTTTTGTCCTCGCTTGTTGTTTCCAAGTACGTGTTTGGGTCCGCTACTCTGGAGCTACATGTTGCTGGGCACTGGCGCCTTTGGGCACGGCTCTACACTTCACTTCACCGGGCCCTGCGGCCGCGTTCACAGGCTTGTCAGCCCTTTCACTCGTACGAGGCTTTGTCACTGGCTGGCGCTTGTACCCCTCCCCTTGCGCTCGCCAAGGCCCGTGGTGGATTTCTCCTCCGAGTCATTGAACGGGGGCCGGCCACCCTGCGTCACCTGCTACAGTTGCAATGGGAGGCCGAACCGCGTCGGTCCTGGCTTTCTCAGATACACACCGACCTCCAACATGTTGCTCTGTACTGTCCGGGAGTGCAGGCCATGCTGGGCAGTTCATGCCCGGTTCGTGCGTTGATTGAGACCCTCCAGGACGATAGGACGTGGTGGAAGCGACAGCTGCGGGCTGCAACCATGCAATGCAGGCGCGATCTGGAAGCCTGGTGCTCCACTCGCACCGCCAAGGTCCCCAGTGGGTTGCTGCCTAATCCTGGTTCCACTGATGTGGCTGCCGCATGCTACATGCGTCGCGTGTTTGCGGCATTTCCATACCTTGCCGCGTGTGCAGCGCCACTACAGAGGGTCAAAGGCGTGCCTAATACGGGCTTGCCACTTGCTCTCACCTCTCAGTTTTACTCAGCTCTTGGAGGTCGAAGCTGTTGATCGTGCGCGCCTTCGCCAGGTTCGCCAAGGACACTGGCAACAGTACTCTACCGCCGCTCCGGTGTTACAGGCTTTGGGCCCTAGTCAGCCGACCAGGCCCGAGCTTCGTGCTCATCTTGCCGAAGACGCGCCGCTCACACTTCTGGTTGACCCCCCCAGGGACGAGAGTATTCACAGTTGGGCTGTACAGGAGGCCTCCTTTAGTACAAAGGAGCATGCCCGCACCGGCACGTGCTCTTTCTGGTCTCACAGGGTGGGCCGTGCCAGCACCTGAGTGCACACTGTTTTGTACAGATTTCTGCTCCAGGTTTCCGGAATTCGGAAGCATGAGTTTTGGGACGCGTCAGTCGACTCTGTAGTCCATCCAATGCAAAACAATCGCCCCCTGGGAGCTTCTCTGTATTTTGTAGCATTGTTTTATCCCAAAAAAGCTTAATCCCAAGTATGAAGGTCGATGTTTTATTCCCCAAAGCTTAGTCGGCTTAATCCCAAGTAATTGTTAATTACGGCTTGTGTCTTTTTCCGGCACAGAAGACTTCAAGAGGGTGTCAAAAATCAGGATCCTTGCAAACCTGGGTCTTTCCGGCTGCCGGTTGTGGGGTGTGAAGTTCAGGATTTTGAGACTGGAGTTTAGGGTTCCGGGTTGAGTATCGGAGTTTCCCAAAAACTTTGGGCTCTGAGGCTTTCGCTCCTCCTTGCCAGAACAGTTCCTTTATCACAATCCGGGCCCTGCCCCGCTACATCCACATCCCATTGTGCTAAAGCCCTAAACTCACCCCAAAACAGTCTGCAGCCCCACATCCCTAACCCCCAAACGTCTCTAAACCCCTGAAGCACCGGATCTTCTGCAGTGACTGCTTGCTGCTTACATGAGCCACCGAACTTTTGCATCCCCTAAGCTTCCACCAACCTTACAGCCTAAGACAGGCCGCTGTCATGACAATGGCCCTCATCTCCGTGAACGTCCTCTTCTTTGAGCCCTTAGCTGATTGCGCCTTGGAGCGGTTTAGGGTTCAGGGCTCAGGGTGATGATTGCGCCTTGGAGCCCACGATAGCTAGGATCGAATCTAGAAGCCTGAATAGTTAGTGATAGTGGTCCTTGCAGTTCCTTACTATCAACACACCATAATATATGCCGAAACCCGATTCTTCATGGCTTCATTAGTGGTTTTCTTTGGGGTTAAGGGATTGAGGAGATCTTGTTATCAAGCTTCAAGCCATAGCTTGGGGGTACCATCGACAAGCCATCTCGAGGACCCACAACACTTAAGCCCTAGAGCCCCGAGCCCCTAAAGCTCTTATCCCCAAACTCAATACCCTAAACCCTAAAACTAAAACCTTAAACCCTGAAGCCCTAAAGCCCTAAGCCGAAGCACCCTCAAGCCCTAAACCCTTAGAAGCTCCGCAGCTCCGTCGCTACGAGAGCCTTCGTAGAATCCGTCGGATTATATAGACAAGGGATCCTAATATCGCCTTCAAAGCAGTGAGAAAAGGGGGCGACAAAACCGACAGAATTGAAACTCGGCTTCAACACATATAAGTTATCTGAGGTGCTGGCGTGGCTGCCTCCTGCGAGGTCTTCGCCAAGAGCGTGGTGCCGACAAAAACTAACACACCCAAGCCCTAATCCCAACAGAAACTAACGTCCCAAGATCTTCCACCGGCTTGGCGATTGGTTGTTCCAGTTGAAGGCATTGTGGCCCTACGCCAAAACCGGTCGAGGGCAGGATTGTACTTAGACGATCAGGGGACGTAGTAAGTAGAGTTATACGTACGGTAACTATAGTTATATCTACTTCTATAACCATAAATAGGCTACGTATAATAACTCTAGTTACTAAGTGCCCTGATCCTTCAAATAGGTATTCGGGCCTTGGTGCCCAAAGCACGAAGCAACAACCCTAAACCCTAAACCCTAAAACCCTAAACCCTAAACCCTTAACCCTTAAACCCTTAAGCCCGACATCCTGAGCCCCGAAAGGCACAAAGCAAAAGCCCTGGAGGTGCCCAGCCTCTTCTCCATGGCTTGCACCCATGCCATGATCCACCAAGGCCTGCAGCCTCGGAGGTTTCTTGCCAGAGCCCGAGGTCCCCCCAAAGGGAATCCTATTCTAGAGCCCTGTAGTACTGTAGTACCCTTAAGTTCAAAGGAACCCTATCAAGAAGTTCGTGTTTTTGGGGCTTAGAGTAAACCCCCAAAAAGTTGGAAACCGGATAAAGGACAAATAGCACTAGGATTCCCTATATGTTACTCTTAAGGATTGAGGCTGTTGGAGTTCTAACTTTCGTTCTTCTACTGTTCTTGTCTATGTAGAGGGATACTTCATAACGTAGGGGCCTAAATACTTACCTACACTATTTTGGGGGCTCCTTATTATATTTAGAGCATAATACACCCCGAAACCCTATTCTAATTTTCAAGGCTTCTACATTACTTACGCGATCGGAGGGTTTCGGGTTTAGGGTTCAGGGCTTAGAGGGGCTTGGGGGTTTAGGGTTTAGGGTGCAGGGCCTAGGGTTTAAGTTTAGGGCTGAGGGGCTAGGATTCGGCGAGTAGGTGTAGGTTTTAGGGTGTAGTGTGTAGGGTTCAGGATTTAGGACCTTCAAGATCGAGTTTTCCCTGCAGGTTACAAGCTCCTCTAATTTAGGGGCCTCAATAATTAGAATGGGGTTGGGGGTATTTTCTGCTATAGACTATAGTTGTCATAGGGAGCCCCCGAAGTAGTATAGGTAATTACCCTAAACCCTAAACTCCCAGACCCCTAAACCCCAGACCCCTAAACCCTATGTTAGGTTATTAAAGCCCCTCTACTAGGAACCTGCACTCTCTGCCCCGGAGGAGTCCGGTGCTTCGTCAATCTCCAGGCCGGTCGCAGTTCGGGGGTACCACGGCGTCCTTCAGCGACCCGGCCGAGCTGGTTGGGTTTAGGGTTTGGGGTTTAGGGTTTAGGGGTTTAGGGTTTAGGGTCCAGGGTTAAGGGTTTGGGGTTTAGGGTTTAGGGTTTGCTGTAGGGGTTTAGGGTTTAAGTGCAAAATCTTCGTTACCATGGACCGGGCAGTTGGACTTCAATTTTAAGCACGCCATGCCTCATGTTCCACACTACCTATCCGATCTCCCTAGCAAGTCACCGAAGATTTGAAACAAGATACGGTTGGCGACAAAACTGAGCCTTCTCCCCAAATCTCCCAACCTTACAATCCTCAACCTCAGAACCCTCCATCCAGAAAAGAGAAGCATAAGCCCAAATCCAAGAAACAACCCGAACCCCCTCCAAAAAAAGAGAACCCCAGAAAGCGAAGAACGGCCGAGCTCCCTCAAAAGGCTGCGGCGTGCGTGGCGGCAGGGCTCGTATTCTGGCTCGGCTACGCGCGGAGCCCTCCCGCCTGGCTGGTTGAGAGAGACGCGAAGAGCTGACTAGGGGTTCTACAAGTGTTCTAGTAGGGTGCCATAGGATTACACAGACTTCCTTAGGTTTTAGGATACAGGGCTCCAGTGTTTGCGAGTTTCGGGCTCAGGAGTTTTCGTAAGCCCGAAATCAGCGGAGAAGACGCCGTCACCCTCCAAAGTGGGGAAGCACGCGTCTGGAGTGCCTCCGGAAAAGATGGGCTTCACACTCCCACACCTGACAGACGGACCTTCCCTGCGGCACGTAAAGGTGCAACCAGAACCATTTGGTGCCTTCCAGAGTGTCATATGGTTCTCTCGCGTGTGCTGAAGCAAATCTGATTGTTCGTGCCCTGTCTGGATCTTGACGATTAGGTTTGCCTTTCCAGGTGAAGCTTGATAGACTTGCCCTAGACTCCCTAAACCGTAACCGTGTCGCTGTAGCTGTCTGCTTGTTCTTTGAGGGCTCGGATTTGGCGACTGGGCAGACACCCGTCGTCTAGGGCCTTGAGGGACATCCTGCACCATCGAAAACCCGTCTTGTCGCGAGAATGATTGAGCTTGGCTTAGTTACGCTCTACGGCTTGTGGCTGGGTTGGGTGTTGCGTGCCACAGCTTTGCAGAGGTTTTCTTTTCGAGCTTTGCTTTAGACCCACCCAGCATCCAGCATCCAGACAAAAACCCTGGACCTTTCCCTCAAACCTTCTAGGTAGGTCGTTTGGACAGTTTACATTTCCCTTATTGGGCTAAGGAGGATCTTATTTACGAGCGATTTTCAAAGGCTTTGAAGGGCCAACCTAGGTATCTTCCGCCTTCAAAGCCGGAAAGCCCCTAAACCCTAAACCCCTGAGCCCTAAACCCACTCTTTGTCCAGGCTGCTGGTTGAGTTCCCGGATGCAAAGGCGGGGCGGGAAGCGGAAGGCTTTGCAAGGCTCCGAGCACCCAACACCCTTTTTCCCTCCCCTGCGCCCCTAAACCGGTCTAGATTAGTGGTTTAAGGTCTAGGGTTTATTCAACACCCAAGAGCCTCTAGCCGCTCAGCCTTAATCTAAACCTCAAACTCACAATCTCAACCCTAAGTGCAGCAAAGCAGGGACATCCTGCCCTAGGACATGCAGTCGATAAGCTCTATCCCTGGGTGCTGGATAGGTTGTTTTACAGAAAACTTCATCCTCTCTGTGGCATGTTGCATGAAGAGGTTCATGATTCAGCATTTGGAGTCTGCTTGGAGGAGCAGGGCACTCAGTAAGTATGGTTATAAGTACCCTAATTAGGGTTATAAGTAGACATAACTAGAGTTACCTTAGTAATAAGGGTTAAGTAGATATAACGCTATAGTTATATCCATACTTACTAAGTCGCCTGATCCTCCAAGTACGGTTGTTTGCCCATGGACAGGACGAAGGCATCAGCGACGGGGCGAGCCCGGTCTATGCTGCAGCGATGAAGGACCACACAGAGGTTCACTGCGGGGGCAGCAGGTAACCTTGAGCCTTAAAGTCCCACATCGTATCTATGCAGAATCAAGTTGCGGGGCACTTCAACTACAACCCAGTTGTTGGTTTGTTCTTTGGGATTTGTGCCAGAGCTTTTGGAGAGTGTAGCTTGTCTTCCTCGGAGTTCTGCTCCTGCCCTCAACCCCCATGGCCTTTGACAGAAAGTCTCCGACAGGTGCTGGAGGCGTTGCTCGATGCCCGTGCCAACGCCGACACCACCAAGGATGTTCGGGTAGTGTTCTTTGAACTTATGGTTGGTTTTGATTTCAATACACTCCCATGGGGTTGATATAGGGCCTCAATAATTTCCTATGCTATTTTGGGGGTTCCCTATTGTAACTATAGTAGAATATACCCACAAACCCTATTCTAATTATCAAGGCCCCTAGAATATCAAAAACAAGCACAGCTTTTTTTGTTGTGGTTTCAGGCTTCGTCAGGTTTGGGGAAGCTGCTGGTTGAACGACGTGCCAGTACGAGTGATGCAAGAGGGCTTGTTCATTTCCCAGTACGCGTGATTGATAGATCAATACGAATGATCAACAGTCGCAGTGTGCTGCTTTCGGGATTTAGGAGGCGTTTCAGGCCTTCCACAGCATGCGAAGCCAAGAACGCACGCGAGCAAGCACCAAAAGAGCAGAGAACTGAATGAGAGGAAGCGAGGAACCACCGCGCAAGGAAGCACAGAGGAAGGAACTTGAAATACGCAACACCCCAGCCACGAAGCCCTAAACCCTAAACCCTAAGTCCTAAAGCTTATAAACCCTCAAACCTAAACCCTAAACCCTAAGTCCTAAACCCTAAACTCTAAAACCTAAGTCCTAAACCCTAAAACCCGAAACCCTAAACCCTAAAACCCTAAAATCCTAAAACCCGAAATCCGAAACCCTAGGACCCTAAACCCTAAAACCCTAAATCCTAAACCCTAAACCCTAAACCCCTACAAGCCTAAAGTATGCCTCTCACCAGGACGATGGTGCCTCTGCGGCTTTCATCGCCACCCAGTTCGGCAGCCCGAAGGTCGGCCGGGTCGTAGGGTCGAGGGTTTTAAGGCTTAGGGTTTAGGGTTAAGGGCTTAGGGTTCAGGGTTTAGGGTTTAGGTTTTAGGGTGTAGGGTTTAGGTTTTAGGGTTCAGGGTTTAAGGTCTAGGTTTTAGGGCTTAGGGTTTAGGGTTAAGGGCTTAGGGTTCAGGGCTTTGGGTTTCAGGGTTTAGGGTTTAGGTTTTAGGTTTAGGGTTTAGGGTTTAGGGCTTGGGTTTCAGGGTTTAGGGTTTCAGGGTTTAGGGTTTAGGGTTTAGGGTTTAGGTTTTAGGGTTTAGGGTTTAGGTTTTAGGGTTTAGGGTTTAGGTTTTAGGGGTTTAGGGTTTCAGGGTTTAGTATTTAGGGTTCTTAGGGCTCCTTTAAGGGATCTGTAGGGGTTTAGGGTTTAGGGTTTAGGGTTTTAGGGTTTAGGGTTTTAGGGCTTCGGGTTTTGGGGTTTCGGGTTTTGGGGGTTTGGGGCTTTTTAGTGTGTAGGATTAGCCTTATGCGTTTGGGGGTTTCGGATTTGGGGGGTCTAGGATTTAGGATTACGTGTTTTCGATGGCCGCAAGGGGTTCGGGTTTAGGATTTAGGATTACGTGTTTTCAATGGCCGCAAGGGGTTCTTGAACTTCTTGGTTCGCCGCAACTTTTTCCGGAAGGGGTTTTCGATTTTTGCGGCAGGGTAGATTTAGGGGTTTGGGGTTGAATCTTCGTAGGTTGTTCAGGCTTCACTAGTGTGGTTTCAGGGCGTTGCTTTTTTTTTTTTGGAAGTTCTTGTGCCTTTTTGGGCAAGGGGGCCAGTCTGCCACAACTGAGCCCTCCGCCGGAACCCTCAAAGGCTCCCAGTCCCCTAGCCATAAAACCCCAAAGCGGCATTTGGGAGGGCCAGCAAATCCGGGGTGAACGAAGACCTTAGAGCCAGGACCCTTATTGCACGGCATTCCCGAAATTTGCATACGTGGAGGATCAGGGCGCTTAGTCCTTCAGGTTAGAAGTACTTTATGTAGCTATGAGTTGTAAGGAGTGTTATAACTATATCTATAGCTATATCTAGACTTAGCTATAGTTGCCTTACTTGCAACCTTACTTACTAAGTCCCCCGATCCTTTCAAGTACCGACTTTCGTAACGAACCCCCTCCCCCCTCTAAACCCTAAACCCTAAACCCTAACCCTCCCCCCCGCTTCTATCGGAGCTTCCCGGTGTCGCAGGCCCTGAACCTTCTCCTCGGGGCATCGGCGGATCCGAACCGCGCGCGGCAGGAGGCGTCCTCCATCAGTTCGAGGGGCACAGAGGGGCGCGAGATTGGGGTTGAGGGTTTGGGGTTGAGGGTTTAGGGTTGAGGGTGGAGGGTTTTAAGGTTTCGGGTTTAGGGTTTAGGGTTGAGGGTTGAGGTGTTTAGGTTCTAGAGGTGTGGGGATCTGGTCTGGTTGGTGCGCTTTCTGCCGGAAACTTGTTGTGTTAGTGGACACAGTGGATTCCAGAGAATCACCTGCAACTGAGAGAGTTTGGGGACTTCTCGCGGTGTGGGAGACTGGAGTGGTTTCTGCTATGGGAGTATGTGTTTCTGTTAGTTGAGAGTCCGGAGTTCTGCTGCATGGATGTCGGGCTCGCGGCTCATGCTCTGTTCCTTGGGCGGAACCTCTTGGGTGCGGGGGGGTGGGTTCAGAAGGGGGACAGCAGGACGGCGTGGCTCCAGCGTACATGGCGGTGCAGAGCAGCCATTCCGAGGAACTCAAGATGCTGCTGGAGGCCTCTGCTATGTGTCATTTTGTTTGAGCTGCAGCTTTTCAGGATTTCGGGGTAAATGCTTGAACTTGTGTGGCTTCCGGCCGAGGTCTGGGGTGGGCCTCTTTGGGATCACAGCTTTCCTCAGCTTCTTCCGTGATTAACGAGTTTCTTCCATCCCTTGAAGGCAGGTTTTAGCTTTTGCAACCGTGCACGCTGAGAGTTATTGCTTCGGAGCTTGAGAGCTCTTCGGAGGTGGTGTTTCAACGAGAAAGTCATCAGGCAGATTGGTATCATTGTCGGTACACGCTGTCGAGGTTTTGTCACAGAAGCAAGTAGCACCCGTAGGAATGTCGGCTCCACACACAGGGGTGCTTATCTAGTTGCCCCATAAGCAGGACCGTTTCTTGTAGGAACATGAAGTCTCCAGCCCGAAAAAGGAGGCCTCGTCTCGGCGCCCTCTGCCTTCTGGGCCTTCTCGGAGCTGCCCTGCCGGCCTCCGTTCCGCCTCTCTGGTGGCGGAAGGGCCGGCCTCGGAAGATTTTGGGGAGCAGGGCTGAGGCGGAGCTGCTCTGCCAGCTGGCCGTTCTACTGATGCCGGATGTGCCCATTGCCGAGGCTTTTCGTGATTTTCCGGTGGAGAAGTCCGAAGAGTGGGGTTCCAGCAGACTGTCCCCGGATTTGACAGCTTACGGAGTGCTCAAAGCAACCGATGCTGCCCTGTTTATCGAGTACGATGGCTATTACCGGCACGTGGAGCCACCGGGCCTGGCCAGGGACATGCGCAAGACCAGTGCCCTATTACGGTTTGCGCCTGCAGGATCGCTGGTAGTCCGTATCGCACACAAGGAGCGGCAGTGGAAGGATAAGTCAACGCAGATCTTGGTGGATTGTTGGTTTACTGACCATGAGCCTTCTCTCTTCAAGGCCGTAAATCAGGTCGTGACTTCTCTTTTGGAGCAGTCCCGTCGCAGGCTGCATCCCACACTGGCTTCACGCCTGGAATCCTTGGAAGCAGAAGAAGGAATCGACAGGGATGCAGGCATCTGTGCAAAAGAGGCCGAGCTGGTTGGTATGTCAGACAGGAGACGAGCGAATCTGGCAGACTTTCTTTGCAGGGGCACACACCTGACTACCTCGCAGGTTGCCAAGCTGATCGCGAGCTCTCCTCAAGTGCTTAGCTTGAGCATTGAGGCAAATCTGAAGCCAACTATCGAATGGATCAAGGGGCTGGGCCTGAGCCAGTCGCAGGTTGCCAAGGTGGTCGCGATCTTTCCCTCAGTGCTTTCCTTGAGCATCGAGGCAAATCTGAAGCCAACAGTGGAATGGATCAAGGGGCTGGGCCTGAGCCAGTCGCAGGTCGCGAAGGCGATCGCGACACATCCTGCAGTGCTTGGATACAGCATTGAGGCGAATCTGAAGCCAACAATCGAATGGATCAAGAGGTTGGGTCTGAGCCAGTCGCAGGTTGCCAAGCTGATCGCGACCTTTCCACAAGTGCTTGGCTTGAGCATTGAGGCGAATCTGAAGCCAACAGTCGAATGGATCAAGGGGCTGGGCCTGAGCCGGTCGCAAGTTGCCAAGATGATCGCGAGATTTCCCCCAGTGCTTGGCTTGAGCATTGAGGCGAATCTGAAGCCAACAGTCGAATGGATCAAGGGGCTGGGCCTGAGCCGGTCGCAAGTTGTCAAGATGATCGTGAGATTTCCCCCAGTGCTTGGCTTGAGCATTGATGCGAATCTGCAGCCAACAGTCGAATGGATCAAGGGGCTAGGCCTGAGCCGTTCGCAAGTTGCCAAGATGATCGCGAGCTTTCCCCCAATGCTTGGCTTGAGCATTGATGCGAATCTGAAGCCGACAGTCGACTGGATCAAGGGGCTAGGCCTGAGCCGGTCGCAAGTTGCCAGGATGATCGCGAGCTTTCCCCCAATGCTTGGTTTGAGCATTGAGGCGAATCTGAAGCCGACAGTCGACTGGATCAAGGGGCTAGGCCTGAGCCGGTCGCAAGTTGCCAAGATGCTCACGAGCTTTCCCTCAGTGCTTGGCTTGAGCATTGAGGCGAATCTGAAGCCAACAGTCGAATGGATCAAAGAGTTGGGCCTGAGCCAGTCGCAGGTTGCCAAGGTGATCGCGACATCTCCTGCAGTGCTTGGATACAGCATTGCGGCGAATTTAATGCCAACAGTCGAATGGGTCAAGGGGTTGGGCCTGAGCCAGTCGCAGGTTGCGAAGGTGATCGCCACATCTCCTGCGGTGCTTGGCTACAGTATAGAGGCAAATCTGAAGCCGACAGTGGACTGGATGAAGGGGCTGGGCCTGAGCCAGTCTCAGGTTGCGAGGGTGATCGCAGCATCTCCCCAGGTGCTTGGCTTGAGCATTGAGGAGAATCTGATGCCAACAGTCGAATGGGTCAAAGGGCTGGGCCTGAGTCAGTCGCAGGTTGCCCAGGTGATCTTGCGGCGTCCGCAAGTGCTTGGCTTGAGCATTGAGGCAAATCTGAAACCAGCAGTAGAATGGATGAAGCGGTTGGGGATGAGCCAGTGTCAAGTCGGCAAGCTGATTGCAGCATTTCCTCCGGTGTTCGGCCTTCGTATCGACACAAATCTGTCAGCGAAACACCGTCTTCTACAAGATTTTTTCCCCGAAGCGGAGGCAGCGCAATTGCTGGCCCGATCACCTCGCCTTTGGAGCTATAGGTATGCTCGACTTGAGCATCGCCTGTCAGTGTTGAAATCTCACAACGATCTCTCCAAGCTTGCGGGCGCCATGGCACTTGCCCTGGATGCGTTCAGTCGCAGATACCCTGGGCAGAGGAGCACATCGACAGACGGGTGAAAAGGTGCCGACAGCACCTAAGGGCGCTGTCGAGGGTCGAAGTACAGACTTTGGTATAGAAAGCGGGGATCAGGCTGACCCCTCATCGTTAGAGGAACTGTACATTCATTGTACCTTGGGTATTGAGGGCTTTGAGAGCTTGGAACGCCAGGGCTTCTTCTGGTTCAACAACAAAGCCGTCTTTTTTTCATACCCAAACCAGAAACTTTTTTCTCTCAAGACCCCAACTCCCCGACGGGCCAACTCTTCACGAACCTAGGCGGTGACGCTAAACCCAGACAGACCACTGCAGAGCAAGGATGCCGAAGCCTTCTGCTTGTTCAGCAGCTGCAGACACCGAGGTGTCCCCACTCGGCCTTTGACTGTCTGAACCAACGTGTCTCAAGTCTTTACACTCGTTTTTCAATGACCCAACGACGGAGTACCACCCGACATCTATTCCCGTCGCTCTGTTTTTGAAGGAGCCTGGCCCTTCTGTCGTGCACTTACCCCAGCCCTAAGCTCCCTAAAAACCCCAAACCAAACCCCAAACCCTCAACCCTAAACCATAAACCCTCCCTGAACCCTGAACCCTAAACCCCAAACCCCAAACTCTACACCCTTAACGCCCCAAGCCCGTCGCGCCGTCGCAGGCCCGGGCAAACCCGAA